TTCTAATTGTAATTATTATCTATAGTCTTCAAGACAGGATGAAGAATGATGAAATGCATTCAAAAGCGTTAGAACTAGAACACATGACATTTGAGAACGAAAGACTGCAAGCTGACTTAGCTAAAATGGAAAAGGTTTGACCAATTTTCTCAGAAACTTTAATACATTTTGGATATTGCAATTTCTTGTTTCCATTCCAATAACGTATTGGTGTATTTCAGATACTTAAAGAAAAACAGAGGAAAGCAAAAAACTTCTATCTCCATTCTCAAGAATCGCAGAAAAAGGTGGTGGAACGCTTATCTCAGGAGGAGGTATGTAAGAAGTTCCCAAATGCTGCATATGTTATCCCTGTTGATGTATAATGACTATCCAGTTGCGTTACTTCGTACAGGATACAGTTGCTGCATTACGTGAAGAAGTTTCAACGAAAGAGTTAAATATCAGCGAACTCAAGAGTTCTATGAAACAAGTAAGATTACAAATCACTGTGAGATTGAATCTGCTTACCACCTTTGAAAGATTGGAGTATGTAAGAATAATAAGATTTTTTGTGTGTGTTGGTTTGAATCTGCTTACCACCTTTGAAAGATTGGAGTATGTAAGAATAATAAGATTTTTTGTGTGTGTTGGTTTGAATCTGCTTACCACCTTTGAAAGATTGGAGTATGTAAGAATAATAAGATTTTTTGTGTGTGTTGGTTTGAATCTGCTTACCACCTTTGAAAGATTGGAGTATGTAAGAATAATAAGATTTTTTGTGTGTGTTGGTTTGAATCTGCTTACCACCTTTGAAAGATTGGAGTATGTAAGAATAATAAGATTTTTTGTGTGTGTTGGTTTGAATCTGCTTACCACCTTTGAAAGATTGGAGTATGTAAGAATAATAAGATTTTTTGTGTGTGTTGGTTTGAATCTGCTTACCACCTTTGAAAGATTGGAGTATGTAAGAATAATAAGATTTTTTGTGTGTGTTGGTTTGAATCTGCTTACCACCTTTGAAAGATTGGAGTATGTAAGAATAATAAGATTTTTTGTGTGTGTTGGTTTGAATCTGCTTACCACCTTTGAAAGATTGGAGTATGTAAGAATAATAAGATTTTTTGTGTGTGTTGGTTTGAATCTGCTTACCACCTTTGAAAGATTGGAGTATGTAAGAATAATAAGATTTTTTGTGTGTGTTGGTTTGAATCTGCTTACCACCTTTGAAAGATTGGAGTATGTAAGAATAATAAGATTTTTTTGTGTGTGTTGGTGTTATGTACTCAGGTGAATATGATGTTTGTGGTGTTACTCTGAGTGTGCATCCACACCGGGCAAGCTGAAAAGTTAGCTTGACCACGGTGGGAATCGAACCCACGACCTTTGGGATACTAGTCCAATGCTCTGCCAACTGAGCTACGCGGTCAAGTCTGTTC